ACAATGGAATTTTTAAATACTGTTTTATACCCTCATGATTTCTCATTTTAAAATTAGAAAAATAGAATGCTTTTATAAAATTTGGGAAAATATCAAAGTAGAAAAGTTAAGTACATTTAGTGCATAAAAGACTTTCTTGGACTTATAAGGATTTGGGAGTCTCAGAATGTATAAGCCTTCAAAGAGTTACAATAAATCCTTATTTTTTTTAATAAAGACATTTGCATGAACATAAGACATTGTTTTTAACAGTTCACAAGCTTCTGCTGTTTTTATAGTATCTGAAGGCTGTATCATCTTTTAATGTCAATGCATTTGGTTGCCATAGAAATTATAATGATGTCACTCACTATTTAAGTATAGAAATAAACAGTAGGAACAGATGGGCACTTTAGAATGAAGGGTAGATTTTAGTGCAAATTTTCTTGAAAACAAAGAACAACAGGTTAAAAATCACATGCAAAAAAATAAAACTATCTTGTGTAACATTAAAAATTAGGATGTGTTTCCATAGTTAACCATCTAATTTGCTGGATTGAAATCACCAACATAAGAGCAGAAGGAGCACAAAAGATATTTCAATGGAGCAGAGATTGAAACAAACTTGTTCAGGTTGGTACTGGATCATAGTGACAATGTACAGATATAAACACCTAGTAATCTTAGCAAGGCTGGTCCTGAGATCAACTAAAGATAAATATAAATTTAACCTGAAAGAAGTTGGGGTGGGTGTGATGACAGTTAACAGAAAGGAAGTAATATGTGTGAGAACATACAGAAACACATTTAACATTCATGGATAGACAAAGTAAGCACATGTATCTAGGTCTAAAATGGAAACAAGTATTGTTTTCAAAATGTGTTGTTCCAAAATTGTTGCACCATTTACATATAAAAGATTTACAGATATGTCTGTGTTCTTTGTTGAAAAATTTTCTCTTTGGTATATAATATTCACAAATTACCCAACATATAATATTGGAAGCACTGGTGGGTATCAGTATATAAGGATTATGCAAAAATCAAATCAGCCAAGTGAGAAGAAAACGGTAATCCAAATACTAACTATAAGACTTTTTTGTTTTAGAAACTCTTATGTAACAGTTCCTAAAATACCTAAACATCCAATATCTTCCTTTATCCCTTGTACCAAAATAACTTGTGAAAATTTATCTAATTATGTGTTCTCTATTCAATTTTTAGTAATTCTTATGTATAAAATGATTTGCTTATTGAGAAAGTTATAAAAAAGCACATAATTTTTTATTTGCAAGTGTTTTTAGTTTATGGTCAAAAATTTTTAAAGATTTATATCCTCAAAAGGAAAAAAAATTAAATTAAAGCACAAAATTTACCTGCTGATATATAAAATGTCTCCTATGTGAAGTTTTTAATAAATTAATTTCTATTTTATTAATTACAATATTTATACACATTTACAAAAAAGTCTTATATGAAATAAACAAACCATGATTAGACTACTAATTTTTATCTATATTTTTTGATCATAATCTGATGTAATATAATAAAGAGTAATTTTCACCTGACAAGAAAATATGAAGTAATTTATAAGTGGTTATTGGATATACCAAAGGCAATTACAGTATAGCTGTCGAGCATCTGGTATTTATATTTAATTCTGCTGACAATAAAATTATATTGAATATCTGTAAATTTGGGAGCAATAATATTTAAAATGTCAGAATAAGATTTTGAAGAGTATAGTTTAGCTATTTTGGGGGAGCATTTATTTACCAACAGAGAAAATATATTCATCTCTCTAGGAAGGTACGAATGACATCTTTCCACATACTTTTCCAAAAAAAAATTTGATTAGGTGTGATCTTTTACTGATTTGGGAAAGTTTCTATAAAGTGGCCTCACCCTAACAATTAAATCTTTTTTTTTTTTTGTAAGTTCACCAACAACGTCTTGATTGATTTATGAACTGTACTTAGAATAGTTTTGTTACTTAGAATTGTTTTGAATCATTTTATAATCAGTCAACATTTTATTAGACACTAGGTGATAAATTTACTTTACTTTTGAAAACAGAATTTTCTTTACATACTTGAAATCTCTTCTTCTTTCCTGCCTTTCTTTAATTTCCAAAACAAATTAGCTGAAAGAGTAGATTACACTTGCATTTTTCACTTCCTAATTTTTCATTCATTCTTCCTATGTCTCCATTTCTAATAATGTCCTTCCATAAACACTATACTCCTTTAGATCACCAGTGGTTGTCCTGAGGATAAAGCCGGGCGACATATCCTAGACATTAAGTTACTTTATGTTTCTTTCTGTGACATTATTTTGCATTTTCTATTACACAATTTGAAACTTGCTTCTCTAGCATTCTAAGACAAAATCTTAGGTTTCTTCCAACCCCTTTGCTCATAACTCTCTAGTCTCTCTTCTTTTTCTTTCCAGCTTTTTTTTTTCTGGTCTCCCCACAAAGTTTTGTTTTTTTCATTTTCATCCTTAGAGTTGGTCTTCCAGACCCACATACTTTTCCCTCCCCTGCATCTTCTCATTTATATCAACATTTTAAAATATCACAATGATGCTGATGACACCAAGCTGTTCTCTTAAACACTTTTGTCTTTTGTTTGGGAGTTTTCACTTAAATGTCTCACTCATATCTATAGTTGCACATTCACATTCAATTCTCATCTACCTTTTGGTACCCTGCTTTATAACCTTCTGTCCTTCTAATTTCTATATCAACTATCTAGCTATTCATGCCTGAAATCTGGAAATCACCTAATAGATTCCCTTTGTCCAAGGGATGAGATATCTTTCCCTTTCCCTCACTGTTCTTCATCCCATTGGTTAGAAAATATTGCTACTACATTTTCTAAATTTCTTTTCACACTTCTCCTTTCCTACTTCCCTTTTTGCATATCCATATTGATTGTATGTCTTAAATGCTGTCTGACCTCACTTTGATGTAAGTAAAAAATCCTTACAATTTCATAAAAGACCTTTTTCATGGTACTTAAATTTCCTTTACTGTATCATGTTTATTCAGGTTGTCTTTGCTTCATACATACTGTTCCCTTTTCCCAGAATGCTTCAATTTTTTACATATCTCTGATCGCTGCTAGCATCTATCCCTAATTTTTCTTAATCTACATAACTCACATAAGTAGCATTTCTTGCAGGAAAATCTCCCCATATGTCTAACATCAAATGTGAGTAGATTATATATTTCTCTCTTTGTCCACTTAACAACATAATATTTCAGGAGCAAGATTATCATTTTCTGATCGTTTTATTTATTTTTTGGTAAGCTTTATAAAAGCAGGCATTGTGTACTCTATGTCCTAAATTGAAGGACTTGCAAACATGTTGAATAAATAAATAAAAGAGTGAAATGCAGAAATTATGGACATTTAAACCATATAAGCATTTAATGGTGAGATTTGAATGTGTTTATCCCATTCCTAGTTTTTTTAAATGGACCAGACATGCCTGTGAAAACGCATGGTAGACACACTTTGAAACCTAAGCAATGGATTTGGTTTAGCATCAGCATACATTGAACTTATTCCTTGCTTCTTTTTATAATCTGCCATGAACACATATTTTTTACTTATTTAAATTTGAGCATTGCTATCCTAGGTTCTCTTGTTTGTTTCACATTCTTTGGACTTTAGCTCTAGAAATTTTTAGACATATGTAAAAAATACTGCCTTGGAAGGCTTTCAGGAGACTGCATACAATCATTAAGATTGACTATTTTGTGGAGCAAGATCTAAGATGAGATGCCATCCAGTGCTGGATAACTTAGCCAAGAATTATAAGGTGTGTTACAATATTTGAGAACAAAAAAATCTCATTAATTATTTAAAAAAATATATAAAATAGAAATAAAGTTTTATGGTATTTAAAAAGAATGTTAATCACAGGAATTTAGAATTTTCAGAAGGCAATGATCAAAAGATTTAGTGAGCAATCATCATCAACGTTTCTCTATGAGTGGCTTCTTCTCAAACACTAAAGAGGATTCAAATATCTGTGAATAACAGACACTAAAAATGATTGCATTGATATCATTTTTGCATGATAATTTTTCCCTGAAGAGTAAGTATAGGATTTGAAATAGCAATCAATTTAACTACCCTGTAATATGTACTCAGATATTTGGTAATGCAAATAACTATACATGAGAAGACAGAAAACCAGTAGACAATACTAATTATTGAGAATTGAGATTCAGAGAATAACCAATTGTTTAATGTCCTCTGCTTCTTTCTACAGTCTCATCCACATCCTCAAATATGTTGTAAAAATCATTAAGTTAAATGCCCTCTTAGTTGGGAAATTGATTAGATGGACTATAAAATGTTTTGATAGAAAAATATATTAGGGTTCCCAGAATTGAATAGATGAAAAAGAACAAAAGGTATGAGCATTAGTATGTTGGAAAATAATAAATTGGGAAAACTGGAAGTTCAGATGCAGAAGAATAAATTTGGGCAATTATCCTATTCCCATACAAAAATAAACTCAAAATGGATTTGAGACTTAAACGTAAGACCTGAAACTGTAAAACAATTATAAGGCAATACAGAGAAAAAGCTTCTTGACATTGGTATGGGCCATGATATTTTGCATATGACCCCCAAAACACAGGCATCTAAAGCAAAAAAAAAAAAGAAAGAAAGAAAAATATGATAATATCAAACTAAAAATCTTTATTGCAAAGAAAACAATCAATAAGGTAAAAAAGCAATCTTTCAAATGGAAGACAATATTTGTAAACTATATATCTGATAAGGGGTTAATATCCAAATATACAACAAACTCAAACCACTCAATAGTAAAAGAGAAACAAATTTAGAAATGGGAAAAGGACCTGAATAAACATTTCTCTAAAAATGACATACAAATGGCCAACAAGTATATGAAAAAGTGCTCAACATAACTAATCATCAGAAAAATGCAAACCAAAACCATAATTAGCTAGTCATCTCTGATTCTATGGAGTAGATACCATGACTAAAGCTCACCCTCTTGAGTTGGAAAAATTAATAGACAAGAAGTTATTATTGAAATTAAACGGTGGCAGATACGTTCAAGGAATGTTGTGGAGATTTGACCCCTTTATGAATCTTGTGATAGATGAATGTATGGAGATGGCAACTACTGCAAAACAGAACAATATTGGAATGGTGGTAGCTGTGCCCTTTCAACAGGCTGAAAGCCTGAGCAGCACTTTTCAAAAACTAGAAGTTCAGCACAATGAAAGAAGCAGTATGTCATTCTGGACCTCATGGTTCCAATTTTATTTGGATTTTGGGCCTCAAACACAATGGCAAAAGAGAAAGAGCACTACAGTAGTCCTCCTTAATCTCAGAGTGAATACCTGAAACCTCAGATAGTAGCAAACCCTACATACACTGTGCAGGAATTTCTTTTTCCTTCTTCACAATTTCATGGATATAAGATTGGTTCTTACCGTATATCTTTGCAACCTCAACAAATGATTTTTTTTTTCTTTTCTTATCAAGTTGAGAACTTTCACCATTTCACTTAAAGGAAGTACTTTATGGCTTCCCTTTGGCATATCTGTATTACCAGTATCACTGCTATTGAGCTTTGGGTCTATTATTTATGTAATGGTTTCTTGAACACAAGCACTGTGATACTACAACAGTCAATCTGATAACCAAGATGGCTAAGTGACTAACAGGAAGCATACAGACACCGGACAAAGGGAGAATATGTGTCCCTGGTGAGATGTCATGAAATTTCATCACACTACTCAGAAAGTGTGCAATTTAAAACTTATGAATTGTTTATTTCTGGAATTTTACAAGTAATACTTTCAGACCATAGATTAAGGGGAGGAACTACTTACACGGCAAAGGTGTTTACCAGCTAGCCTTATTTTCTAAATATTATGTGACAGAACAAATATGTAATGCCATTTTAAAAAATGTTCATGAAATGGCAAAGTTTTATTTTGTTTCTTAATGATGCTAAAAAGAAATGGTCCTCAGATTGGAAAATCTTAGTTATCAAAAATAACTTGTCTTTACCACCCTCTATTCCTAGGGAAATTGTCAGTCATAAACAAGTTGAAGAAGGAGCTAGGAAGGAATGTTAGTTTTTATGCTTCAGACAGTAAGATGTGATGTTCATCTGTTGCCAAAAAAAAACCCCAAAAGGGCAAGGAACTTAAAATTGAAATTCTAAGAACTAAATAAGGATGTTGTTTATCTTTCTAGATTTTTATTCCTAACTTATAAGGAAAGTACAGGTCTATAGACTCTTTCAGTCACCATAGTGATTTTGATGGTGTCTTTTTCTGTCTCTCTCTCTTTCTCTTTTTTGGTAGGAAACAGGGTCTTGCTCTATTTCCCACGCTGAAGTGCAGTGGTGCCATCATAACTCACTGTAACCTCAAACTCCTGGGCCCAAGCGAGCCACCTGCTTTAGCTTCTACAGTAGCTGAGACTGCAAGTATGAACCGCCAGGCCTATCCAAGCTCTTTTAAAGCTGCCCTTTATCTTCACAGAAGTAAAAATAAATCCTACAATTTATGTGAAACCACAGAAGATCTATAATAGCCAAAACCATCTTGAGTAAAAAGAAAAAAATAGAGGAATCACATGACTTGACATCAATTTACACAACACAATTGCAGTAACCAAAACAGCATGTTACTGGCACAAAAACAGACACATATGCCAATGGAAAAGAATAGAAAACCCAGAAATAAATCCACACACCTATAGTTAATTTATCTTTAACAAAGGTGCCAAAAACATACAGTGGGGAGAAGATAGTCTCTTCAATAAATGGTACTGAGAAAATTGGATATCCATATGCAGAAGAATGAAACTAGACCCTTCTCTCTCACCATATAAAAAAATCAAATTAAAATGGACTAAAGACTTAAATCTAAGACTTGATACTATAAAACTAATAAAAGAAAGCATTGAGGAAATGCTTCAGGATGTTGATCTGGGCAAAGACTTCTTGGATAATACCTCCAAAGCATAGGAAACCATAGTAAAATTGGACAAATGGGATCACAGCAAGGTAATATGAGGAAATAGAATCATCATGTTAGAAGCTTTGGAATAAGTATAAATAATCGCTGTTCAGAGAAATCCATGTTCCCTCTCCAAAGGGCCTGTTTTACTATGATATCAAAATCAGGTCATGTACATTGGCAAATTAAACCTTTTGTTAAATAAACTTTTGAAATAGTCAAAAATATAATCAATCAAATATCACATAATACATGTTGGAATGGCTATTGTCAACAAAAGAAAAGATAATAAGTATTGATGAGGATGTGGAGAAAAGGGAACCCTTGTACACTGTCTGTGGGAATGTAAACTATTTGAGCTATGAAGTAAAACAGTAGGAAAGTTCATCAAAAATTAGAAATAGAGCTACCAGATAATCCAGCAATCCCTCTTCTATTAATATTTAATATGTATATATCCAAAGGAAATGGAATCAGTATTTTAAAGATACATGTACACCCATGTTCACTGCAACATTATTCACAATAACTAAGGTATGGAAACAACCTAAGTTACATATATTCCTGCAATTTACAATATTCCATTATACACATGTACACATGTGCACACACACACATACTCACAGAAATATTATTTAGACTTAACAAAGAAGGAAATCTTCTAATTTGGGACAACATGGATGAAACTGGAGGACATTATGCTAAGTGAAATAAGACAGACACAGAAAAATATATACTGTACGATCTCACTTACATGTGAAATCTAAAATTTGAACTCAGAAAAGCAGAGAGTGGAATGGGGTTTGTCATCATGGCTGGAGGGTGAGAGCAATAGGGAGATGTTGGTTATAGAGTACAACATTTCAGTTACACAAGATGAATAAATTCTAGAGGTCTAATATATAGCATGTTGCTTATAGTTAATAATAGTATATTATATATTTAAAATTTTTCAGGAGTAGATATGAAATGTTCTCACCACGCACCCCTGCAACATGAAATGGTAGCTCTGTGAGGTCATGAATATGCTAATTAGCTTGATTGTGATGATTATTTCACAATATGTGTGTGATTATTTCACACACGTATTTCACAATATTTCACAATATTATTTCACAATATATATATATATACACACATAAACATCATGTTATGCACCTTAAATTTATACAGTTTTAAATTTTCAATTATACCTCAAAGGAGGGGACGGGTATATACATACATAATAAATGAGATGTGCACCATTTGGGGGCTGGTCACGCTTGAAGCTCAGATTTGAGGGAGAAGGGGGGGCAAGGGCATTATATGTAACCTTAAATTTGTACCCCCATAATATGCTGAAATAAAAATAAAGTAGCTTTTTGTTTTAGGTTAAGAAGTGTAGACTTGAATATCAAACACAAAGGACTAATCTTAGTAAATACTAACATATATAGACAGTGGAAAAAGATAGAGAAAAGAAAAAAAAGAAAGAGCAGAAATAAATTGCATATATATGCATTGTGTGTGTATATTTTATATATATATATATATAGGATTAGCTTGGAAAAGGAAAAGGTAGAAATGTACTGTTAATTTTTTGGTAATATTGACTTAGAAATAAAAAAGTAGTTATGAATAATAAGTAGATTGAACAAAAAAGTGGAGAACACTTTATGACTGACATCATTAGCAAGGTAATAAAATTACATAATGAATAATTTTAAGAATTATAATTTGAATACATAAAATGAATAGACAAATTACTAGCAATAATATACTCTGTCAATGGCAGTTAACTAGTCATCTAACTAATCTTAGAAAACAGCTAAACCAGATATGCAGTGTAGTAGGGCTACGTAGCTGAGTTCCAGTAAATCAAATGTGAATGGAAGTGAAATATGACATTTCCATGTTGATGTCATAAAGTTTCCATGCTTTGATCATTTCTTTTCTTGCACACTCCAACTCCACTCATTGCAGGTGGAACACTACAGGAAAAAGGAGCCTGGGTTCATGAGTAACTGATTAGAAGAGAACCACCTGAAAACCAAGAACACCCATTCTCAAATTTTGTATTTTGTTATAATATTGAGATTCTGATATTAACCTTTAAACATTCTGACAACGAATGTATTTTAATATACTTTAATTAATGCCACTATCAAAACTTTCTTTAAAATAATCTTTAAAAATATTTAAAATAACATAAAAATAAAATGAATATTTGATAATTTCATTTATACAAATGTTCAAGTTTTAGCTCAACAAAACTGTTTTATTTAGGAATGCATTTTAGGTAGAATATAAAGAAAAATCAGGAAGCAAATGGCATGTAAGTCAGGTTAGGATAAAGAAAAGATACGATCTCAAAGGATCAGCCAGAGGTTTCTACAGTATTTTCAAGTTATTCCTTTACTCACATTGTGCTTGCATGGAGACTCTCTTTATAATTATTATACTGTGAAGGTAAGTTTTATGCCCTTCTAGGTATTTGGTTAAATTTCACAACAACAAAAATAGATATCCCATTTCCTACACACACACACACACACACACACACACACACACACACACACACATAAAGTTAGGAAAGTAAATTTTAAAAAATAAAAAAGAAGAGAAAAATATAGGGAAGTGCATTAGAATTAATTGATATCCCTAAAAGACCAAAGGAAAGAAACAGAAAAAAAAATGATATTATGTGTGGTAATAGCAGAAATTTTCCCAGAGAGAAGGATCAGAATATTCATTTGAAAATAACATAAGGAAATAAATCCATTGAGATATGTCCTAATAATGTCACTGAATTCCAGTGATAAAAAGGGAAATTATATAGACTAGTCTTTCTCAAGGTGTGATCCCAAGACCTGCAATGTCAACATCACTGGGGAACTTGCCAGAAAGGCAAATTTTTAGGCCGTACTGAAGACTTCGTCTGAGTGTTGGATTTAGCAATTCATGTCAAACAATTCTTCCAAGTTAAAATTTAAGAGCCACTGAATATAAAAATACAAGATAAAAATAAAATAAATATCGAGTAACCTAAAAACTGAAAACTCACACTGGTGTCTGGGTTCCCCACAGTAACATTTAATGCTCAGAGAATGAAAGTGTGACCCAAGACCTCTGTATCTTCCAACGGTCTGATTCAAGTATGAAAGCAATATATAAACATCCTCCAACATGAAAGAATTCAAAGGTTAGAGAATTTATTTTGGGGGTGTATGTGAAAGAACAGCTTGATGATGAATCTAGCAAACTAATAAATAATGCATAATACATAACTCAAAAATAGAGAAGCTGTGTAAAGAAAGGGTTGGTAGGGTCATTCACTTCCATTTAAGTATATATCTACATCTTCATTACTGTGGAGATTGTGGTTTTTAAACAGGATATAATAGCATGATTCTTGAAAATATATCTAATGAAATTGGCAAGAAGGAAAAGTAGGAAGAAGTATTTGGACAAAAGTTTCTCATTTTTTAAAATGCTTAATATTCAGTAGATAAAACTGAAAACTAATAAATATAGCAATTTCTATATCAACTTCTTTTGAAATCTATAAAATTTCAAATGTTACCATATTATTACCATAAATAAAACCACAAAAAAATGTGGAAGAATCATTAAAATAGACATAAAATACAATGGTATTTAATGAGACCATATATAGCTTATGTATAAATAAATTCTGAGACCATATATAGCTTATGTATAAAATAAATATACATGGGATGAAGGTATTTGTCAATATTTTAAAAAATAGAATGATAGTATTTGTATTAGAGATGCATACAGCACAAAGTGACTCAAAATAATTGAAATTTAATTAGCTAAATATATGAAAAATGCGTAGGAAGGAAAGAAAGCAGAGTTTGGGTTTAAGGTAAAATCAATACATGAGGGAAAAAGGGTACTAAACTATGAAATATGTGTTAATATTCTACATAAAATATGTAAAAATTTAAACATTGTAAGAAAAATGGGAGAAATATAGTAAAATACATGAGAGATAAAAGATAAGCTAGACAAATTTTTAAGTGTGTAGAGAACTCAATCATCATAATGATGTTTGAGCTAGTAGATGAGTTTAAATTCATATGATTTGAAAATAGACTAATATTCTTTTAAAGAGTGAAGAAAATGTTATAAAAATTATCTATATATTAGGACAAATAGAAAATGTTAACATTTATAGAAAATTAAATGACATTCTCTGATCAAAGTTTAAAAAGAGAGCTTTATAATAAAAAATGGAAACAAAAAACCTGCTATATGAATTATAAGAACAAAGCAGATATTGAATTAAAAGAAAAAACACAAATTGTCAAAATTTGAAAATAATTGCAATGAAAATGCTAGGTCCCCCAAATTAATGTTTCTGGCTAAAGACAACTAAAGATAGCTGAAGTCATAGATATAAGTCTTATATTTCTAAACAAGAAGAATAAAAATTAATTATCTATTAAATAAAAATTACAGAAAATAATAATATTAATGTAAGAAAAAATAATGAATTGAAAAACAAAATAAGGAACTAAGTTAGAAAAATAATAAAACAGTAAAATGTCTATTTTACAAAGAACCACAAGTGGTTCTTTAAACATGTAACACAGATATGCCATTATCTAAGCTAATCAAGAAAAATGTATCAAAATACATAAAATGGAAAAAATTACAAATGAGAAAAAGTTAAACACAAATACAAGAGAAATGAAGTGATTTATGAGATGATAATTTGCTTATCCTTGAAAATAAATTTGAAGGCAAATTTGACTTGTAAGATGAAGCCATTAAGTTTTCAAGTTTCAGTGTATAGTTTCTCTCTCCTCTCTCTCTCTCTCTCTCTCTCTCTCTCTCACACACACACACATACACACACATTCCTGCACATGTACACACACAAACACAATATAAAGATGTTTCAAAAATGAATTTAAATAAAACTAAAAATAGGTAATTCCAATTCTTCATTTAAATGTAGACCCTTCTATTAAAGATGTAAACCTGAAATAACATCATCATGACGACAGAGCTTGACAGAAACGTGCAGTATCAGGTCCCCACCTGGACC